CAGTGAGCGGGAACCGGTCTGTATGTGGGATCCGAACCCTCGGCGGGAGCGCCACCACGCTCCCAAGCGGCGCACTGTAGCGGTGCGCCACCTGGCCGCCCGTGGGCATGACTTTTGAGGGCCCCCATCTATCCCACTGAATCCTGCGTCTGGTGTCCCCTTCCCTGTGGGCATGACTTTTGAGGGCCCCCATCTATCCCACTGAATCCTGCGTCTGGTGTCCCCTTCCTTGCCCATGGCAGTTTTAAGACTCTACTCTGCCTCCTAAGAGACTGTGGTCTTTCTGGAGAAGCAAGTCTTCTCTGCTCCTTCCTGGCTTCTTAGCTGTAAGGTGTCCTGGCTGCCCTCCCTAGTGGCTTCCTCTGGCTGCGTTTCCCTAACAGCGCCTGACATTTCCCTTTCCTCCCCTGGGAGTACCCCGGAAGGCCAACCAGAATGTCATAGGGAAGGGGACTGGAGTCCAGGCACCCAGCTGAGGCCCCATGTCCCCTGGCTTATTCCCTCCCTTAGGAGTAGCAGCCTCTGATGTTCCAGAGCCAGGAGGAGACGCAGTCCCGTGCGCTCTGGGCTGTAATTAGTGTCCCCCTGCTGGGCGGTGTCTGATCACCACCTCATTGAGTGGCTTTGCACGTTCGGGCTCTGGTGGCTCAGCACTGGATCCGTGCACCTTGCCGGTTAGCATTCAGAGCTCGCTGCCTGCCTCCTTCCCTGGCTCTGTTATTGCAGAAACTGCAGTCGTGCCTGAGGAGAGAGACGAATACCGGCTTGTTTCCTGTGGGGCCTTCCTTCTGGGAATGGGGTTAAAAAGGAGTTTGAAAGAGGAGGGAGTTGGGGTTTAAAATAGAGCGTGCCTGGCAGCCTGCTACGTGGCTTCTCCCAGCTTCCCCCTAAAACACCTAAAAAGACACACCAGAAAGAGACGCACATTCTTAGAACAGCGACAGCAGAGACAGGTGGACAGTCTGAGAGGAGCCTCCGCCTGCTGTAGGACAGATGGAACTGGTCCAACAAGGAAGAAACAATCCAGGCTTCCCTCAGGAATCCGAGTCCTCCCCAAGAAGGTAGGAAGCTGCTTCCTCCCTCCACCTGAGGACGTCACCAATCGGAACATGAGCCGACTGCCCTGCACCACGCGAGGGACGGTTTGGGGTAGAAGAGTCCAGCCCCCTCACTGCGCCCTCGGCCACGCCGCTGTCTGCATCTGTTCAGAGGAGGCGACTGAACCAGCAGGCAGGAGGGTAGAAGTGTGGCCACTGTCCACACACACCCAGCGGGCTTGGCCACAGATAGAAAGTGACAGACACTGTCATGGATGTCCATGGACTTAACTGTCACGAGTGTCAGAGATCCAGGTCCTGGGGCTGGATGAGGATGTCCCTTCTTAAGGTCATAGTCATAGAAGTTCAATGCTAAGACTCGGCCAGAGCTGGGCTCCTCAGCAAGGCAGGGCCTGAAGAGGAGGAGTCTGCTCTTTCCCAGGGAGGTGGCCGTGGGGACAAGGACACGTTGATAGATGTGGGTCTCGCTAGATCTCGCCTTCTTCCAGGGTGAGCACATGGGGAGAAAAACCCTGGGTGTAGGATAAATGCCACAGAACCTGAACCCTGACCTCTGGGAATGAGTTACAGCAGGATCCAGAAGAAATCAACTTTGTGGGAAAGAACAAAAGGCCACCAAAAGGGGCCAAGCTGAGATGGAAAAGAAAACCAACAGGATGAGATGAAAAGGGAGATTAATGCACAAAGTAGGAATTGCAAGGAAATGCGATGGAGTGGACTTGCAGCCCCTCCTGGAGCAGCAAAAGTCGCGATGAGCTGCAGAACGTGAGTCAGTGACGTGGGAGGCCGCCTTGAGACCTCGACGGGAGTGCAGTGTGCAAAGAATATGGGAAAAGGTGAACTCGGAAGACACCTAGAGCCAACGTTGGATTTTCCTGAAGAAGAGGTGGGCTAGAAAAAGGTCTGTGTTTGTAGATCGAAAGACCCGAACACTGAAGGTAAGTCTGAAGAAAACAGATCCACGAGTGGACACGCAGTGGCAAAATTTTTGATAACCAAGCGTGATGGGCAGAAGGAAAGTGGCCGGACGCACGTGCACGCTCCCATGTTCCTGCCTATCTCAGGAAGGTGCCTACGTTTGCCTGCCGGGGGTCTCGGGCCCTTTTTTATAATCGTGTTAAAGTACACCTGATATAAAATATATCATTTTAACTGGTTTTAAGTGTACAGCTCAATAGCATTAAGAACATTCCCATCGTTGTGCAGCCGGTCTCCAGAACTCTCTTCCTCTTGCAGAACTGCAACTACCCACTAAACAGCTCTCCATCACCTCTCCCTCCCTGCAGCCAGCGTTCTACTTTCTCTGAATTTGACAACTCCAGGAATCACACAGTGTTTGTCCCGTTGTGACTGGCTTATTTCGGTCAGCATAATGGCCATAAGGTTCATTCGTGTCGTAGCATCTGTCAGAATTTCCTTCCTTTTTAAGGCTGAATAATGTTCTATTTGGTGGACAGACCACGTCTTGTTCACCCACTCGTCTGTCAGTGCACACGGGGTTGCCTCCTCTACCCTTGGGCTATTGTGAATAACGCTGCTATGAACCTGGGGGCACAAACATCTGTTTGAGTCCCTGCTTTCAGTTCTTTTGCGTGTATACACCTAGAAGTGGAACTGCCGGATCATATGGTAATTCTGTGCTCAGTGTTTTGAGGAGCTGCCACACCTTTTTCCACGGTGGCTGTACCATTTTGCATCCCTACCAGCAGTGCACAGAAGTTTTAATTTCTCCACATCCTGACCAACACTTTTGTTCTGTTTTGTTTTGTTTTGCTGGGGGTGGGAGGGGGGATGTGGTTTGGCTCTGAGGACTGGAGACTGGATTGTCCAGAGAAGTTAAGTTGATTTGTATTAGGAAGAGAAAAACCGAGAGCCAGGAGGGTTTATGGGGTGTTAATGAGAAACTGCAGGACAGTTGAGTCCGGTAGGAGGAGGGATACAGGGAAGGGATTCTAGGAATTTGGGGGCTTCATGATTGGGATGTCCCTTTGGTGACTTTGAGAGATTGCTGTAAAGATATTACTGCCTTATAGGCTATCTTGTGTGTTGAACGGGTGTTCCTAGGCAGGGGACAGTGTGCTGGGACTGTCCAAGAGATGTGTCTGGGGTTTAGTGGCAAAGACATCTGGGCTGCAAAAGCAGCTAAAGAAGCAAAAATCAGATGGCTGCAGAGTCATGAGTGATACCGAATACCAGAGGGCAGCTGAGTAGCGTCTGTGGTGTTTTTTGGGAGATTCTATTGAGCCAGGCTGTCTTCAGGTGTGACTTCAACATGCAGGAGTTTTCAAGCAGGCCAGAGCTCAGAAAAGCAGCTGTCCGTCTGTTCCTTCAGGGAATGTGCTGGATGGTGACCCCTGGCAGTGCAAAAACACAGAGTAAAGGTCTGAGTCCTGCTGCGGGGCGAATCGGTAGCAAGGAGGGGCAGGGAGCGTGCACACTCACAGTGACACACTGTGTGCAGTGCCAAATGTCATCGACAGAGTCACCTGCACATTTACAAAATAATAATAGCAGTTCGGGCCGGCCCAGTGGCGCACTGGATAAGTGCGCCGCTTGGGAAGCGCGGCGGCGCTCCCGTCCGAGGGTTCGGATCCCACATACAGACCGGCTCCTGCTCACTGGCTGAGCGAGGCACGGGAGCGACACCGAGGGTTGCGATCCTGTTGCCGGTCCCCAGTCCGGTGCGGGGGCAACACTGAGGGTTGCGATCCATTGCCGGACACGGAAAAAGACAAAAGACAAAAAAATAATAATAATAACAATAATAATAATAATAGCAGTAATCCTTAATTGTACCAACAAAGACTAAGAAGGGGAGGAAAGCTAGCCAGCAGGCAGACACTGGAAGACCCCGTGACATCCAGCACAGCCCCTTTCTAGGTCTGTTTCCTGGGTTGTCCTTGCCCTGGGACCCTTGGCTTGGACGTTGTTCCTTCTCCCAGACACCGGCTGTGGGCACAAGGCCTTCCTGGACCCCTCAGCACCACCATCACACGCTGCACCTGCATAGACGGGGCCTCAGTGGAGAGTCAGTCGGAGTTTCTCCAGTGTCCGGAGGGAAGGGAAACCCTTCCCCACCCTCATTTAGCACCCTCCTCCCAGAGCACTGCATTCGTCTATCCCATCAGCTCAAACCTTTTTGTGGTATCAGGATCCCTTGATACTCTTTAAAATTATTGAGGAACTCAAAGGGGTTTTCTTTACGTGGGTCATGCCTAATGCTACGTACTGTATTAGAAATTAAAAAGATTTTCAAGATTTATTTACTTAGTCATTTAAAATTAATAATAAGCTCACATGTGGAGGAAATAAATTTTTATGAAAATAACTATATTTTCCAAAAGAAAAAAGAAGTGAGAAGAGTGGCATTGCTTCCCACTTGCGCAGCTCTCTCTAATGTCTGTCATCCCAGGACACGGCGGGGTTCTCAGACCTGCTGTTTTTGCATCCGGGCTCTTGCGACAGGTGGTTTTTTTTTTTTTTTTTTTTTTCGACAGGTGGTTTTGATTGACTTCTATGAAGAAAATCCAGCGTCACACAGCTGTCGCTGGAAAAGTGGCGTTAGACCACACTTTGAGAAACGCTGTCCTAGCTCCCTCTGTGAATCTCTACTTTTTGGAAACCCATACCCTAGCCCCAGGCCCATCGTCTCTCTCCCCATTGCAAGGATTCCTCAAACCTGCCTATCCAAGCTCAAGTGATGTGGGGCCCCACTTCCTCGAGATGACACATGCTGGCCACTGGCTGCTGGGCCGGGCCACTCGGTCAGGGAGCAGTACGTGACCCATGCTTCCACTGGTGTCCCCAGACTTTCTGGCTAGGAGCTGTCCACGTGCACAGTTGCTAGAGATGGAACTGTTCAGACCCATAAGGAGGAAGATGGGGTTTTCCTCGATGTCTCATGCTTTGCGATGACTAGAGGGGCCACATCTGGATCTGCTTCTCCCCTTCCTTCCATGCAGGAGCCAGGGCAGAGCGGAGTGCTGGAGGCCCCCGTTGGGCAGTGTCAGTGCAGGCCCTGGGTGCACAGACCAAGAGGAGCCCGTCCCTGGGGCTGTGGTCCCAGAGGTGTCTCAGGAGGCTGTAGCCAGGACCACTGCCCCAGGCATGGGCTCCTCTTGGTCTGTGCTCCTGGCTACAGCCTCCTGAGACACCATGGATCTGGTTAGCTGCTCTCCCTAACCCCCAACCCCGTGGGTAACTCCCAGTGGGTGGGGACATAGTCATCCCCCATAAACTGGCTTGGGGAGGGGGTATGGAGAGGACACCAAGGAGGCCAGAAGTGGCTCGAGGTTCTCGAGACCCAGGAAGTGCCCTAAAGCAGCACAAGCACTCTGTGGACCTAGGCGGGGTCCAAGTAAAGAAATAAAGCAATAAAGAGCGCAGCTGCCTCTGGCTGGGCTCCATCTGGTTTTCCCTGTAGTCTCCCTGGGACCTTGGGAGCCCCACCCCAGCTGGAACTCACAGGGAGGACGCCAGCATGACTCACAGTTACCAGAGCCCAGCCAGCCCCGCCTGCCAACAGCGGGCCTGGGGAAGGACGTTCTGCATCTTCTCAGACCTGCCCCAGCCTCTGGTTAACGCCTGGATGTTTCTTGGTCCTTCCAGGATAGGATAGCCTGGACTGGCCACTTTCCTTTGTCTGTCTGTCTGTCTGTAACCAAGAGCTGTTCTGCCAAGAGCCGCAGCCCGCAGGCTTGCTGGCTCCTCTGCCTCCCTCTTGTCCACCCCAGCTCCAAGATCTTGGAACACACTTTGATGAGTACTAATGTGATTCGTCTGCCCATTTCACAGGTGGAGAAACGGGCCCAAGACGGAAGACTGGCGCACAAACTTACAGTGGGTTGGGGGTCAGCCAGGCCTAGATTCCAGCACTTTCTCCAAGGGGCACTGAGGGACAGGGAGCAGACCACTAGGCGCCAGGGGTACACAAAGGAGAGGGGTACACAAGTGAAGCAGAGGAGGGACAGAGGCTGACACTGTCAACAACCGCAGAGGAGCAGCCCAGCTTGCATGACAGACTGGAAAAGAGAGTGTCTCCCTCCAGCCTCTGACCTCCTCCCCATGCCACAAGGCCAGCCTCCGGCCATGGGGATGAACACAAGCCCTTTGACTTTCAGCCTTACTGTGTTCCCAACCTCCTTCTGCCCCGGGAGGGTGGGCACATGTTTTTGCACATTGCTGGGAAGTTGTTTGCATCCTGGGATCCTGCGTGTCCACATGACCCCGACACACCCTCCTGACCCTGAGGCCAGTGTGGGCTTTGCACCAGGGTCCTTGTCCTGCCCTGACTCCTGTGTTTTTCTAGAGAGGGAGGTCATGGCTTTTAACACATTCTCATATGGGTCTGTGGTCTAACATGAAATCAAGAACCACTGCATAAGGGGTAGAGGGGCTGTTCAGGGAGGAGGGGGCAGAGGGGAGTCGGGTGGGGCAGGCGCAGCCACTGTTGGAGACAGGTTTCCCCTGCTGGAGGCTTTCGGTGTGTTTCTTGGTTTTGTTTCTCTCACCTGCTTGTGATGCCAGGGTCACTCCCCATTTTGCAGATGGGCAAGCTGAGGCTCAACAATGTTAGGCAGGTTGCCTCAGGATGCAGCGCTGAGGGGTGGAGCAAGCCAGGGCAGGTGCAGAGGTCCCAGCGAGGGTTGCACTTGGTTCTGCAGAGGGCCCAGCTCAAGAACGGGGCAGCAGCACCAAGAAGCCTGCCTTCCTTGCACCCACGCCTGTCCTGGAGCCCACAGATTCGGGTCCTCGGTAAAGTATTTCAGCAGCCAGAGAACCTAGCTCAGTACAGGGCAGTTTTCCTTTAAAGTTTGTTCCTGCTGCATAGAAAACTAAACCCCAAAACTGGCCCCTCAGTGTCCTCACTGAAGCTTGAAGAAAACTGTAAAAAGTGTAGGAGACAGAGTGCCTCTGACTGCCGCAGCTAGGGCCACTGGCACGTGGGATCCACAGGGCAGCACATGGTAGAGAGGCCACGGCACCCCGGCCCTCCAGATCCATCCAGCAAAGACCTTTTCTTTCTTTGCCCTTGGAAATGTCAGACACCAAACCACAGGGCAGCGTCTCTGCCCTCCCCCACCTCCTGCCCAGCTCACTTCGGGGGTAGGTAAGAGCAGATGCCGTCCTCGATGAACAGGCCCCAGGCTGAGGCCGAGTCGCACCTTCACCATTCCTGAAATTCTGACGGTGAAAGAAGTTGGCTTGTCTGGGCCTTGATTTCTTCATCTGTGGATTGGGAATAATGATGCCCAGGCTACTTGCCTTACAGGGATTTCTAGGAATCACAGGGGGAAGGTGTTCAGAGAAGTTCAGAATATCCCACCAAATGTCGGGGAACAAACTCCTGCTGGAACTCAGCCAGTCACACCTGCCTTTCCTGTCCAGAATGTCCCATCCCCAGGTTGCTGGGCCCTGGAGACCCAGCCGGGAGCTGCCTTCTGTGAGCTGTGGGCAGGGGGCAGCCCTGGCTGGGCTTCAAGGCCTGGAGAGCTTAGGGTGTGGACAGCGCAAGGGGGCTGCTTTCCCTGCCCACCCCGGGGCTCCCCTTGTTCCTCAGAGTGGGGTAGGACCGTCCCTGGGTGGGAATGCCGTCACGGCTGGTCTGTGTGAGGCTCCGAGCTAGGGACAGGGCCCCAGCTCACAGCCAAGGGCAGCAGAAATTGGGCAGAGGGTGCGTGAGAAAAGAGAAGGTGCGCCCACCGTCTGTCACACACAGCTGTGAACTGCAGTCCGGCTCCCCGGGGCGGCCCCCTCTGCTTCACTTCTCAAAGCAGATGGCTCCTTCCAGCTCCACCAGTTTGGTGGGTGAGAAATTCTAGCTCCATCGTATTTGGGGGGCCTGCTCTTTCCCTTTCATTGTATAAGAATCTTAGGGTCTCATGCAGCCCAGAACGTTTGGAACAGGGCCCTTGGGCCGGAAACCACACCGGTCTCTGCTCTTGGCCAAGCCATGGGGGCAGCGTGGGTGAGCCCGACTTTCAGGGCGTGGTGCCCCCTGCAGGGCAGAGAAGGTCGTACCTTTGCTTCCCCCATCCTAGGGCTCATGGCTGAGACATCTGAGACGGTTTAGCAAGAGGGAAACATACAAATTTATTTAAGATTTACGTGACGCTGGACCTTCCGCAGTGAAGACCCAGATACACAAAGGGAAACCTGCCATTTGCATGGACTGTCGTGCAGAAGTGAGACTGGAGGGTGCAGCGAGCCGGGCACATAGTCAGGCCTCTGCTCAGACTCTTCTTGGCGTCTCTGTTTTTCAGGATAAAGACATTCCTTTCCTCTGGTACAATACAGAGGACCCCTCTGGAATGAGGGTCTTATGACCTGCTTTAGAGGAAGGGCCGGGGGCGGCCCGGTGGCGCACTGCTACAGTGCGCTGCTTGGGAGTACGGCGGCGCTCCCGACAAGGGTTCAGATCCCACATACAGACCGGTTCCCGCTCACTGGCTGAGCGAGGTGCGGGCGCAACACCGAGGGTTGCGATCCTGTTGCCGGTCCCGGTCCGGTGCGGGCGCGACACTGAGGGTTGCAATCCGTTGCCGGACACGAAAAAAAAAAAAAAATAGAGGAAGGGCCGGGAATTCTTTCAGGAGAGGGGCAGAGAGACCTTCCTGCTTTGTCTGCTCAGATCCACAGTGCCATATTTTGGGGAAATGCTCCACATACCACCCCCAAAACGCTTGTCCCGCCTCAGACCTGGGGACCCTCTGCTCCAGTGGTTTCTGTCCCCTCCCCCCATCAGGAGGGCCCCACTTCATACCCTTTCTGAAGGTGCCCTGCTGGCCTTCCTTCTGGGTACCTGGTGGCTTCTTACAACCCCACAACTCAAAAGCCCCCACGGCAAAGGAACACTGAGGTTGTATCAGCTGCAGCAGGATCAGTAACAATGATTTCAGAGTCAAGAAGAAAACACAAATAAATATCAGTAAATGATCCAGTCACAAGGCAGGGAAGTTTTGCTATGCATGCCGATTCCCGATTTTGCCCCCGATGGGGAAGCAGGCACTAGCACGTTGGCTTCATCCTCGGGGAAACCGGAGAGGCAATGGTGGGGGGCTCTGTCGGGAGAGGTTGACAGAGGGCAACTGCATGAACTGCGGAGCCTTCAGATGCCGGTCCCTCCTCTTCCTCAGCTCAGAGAGAAAGAGAAACAGGCAGAGGCTTGTCCTGGTCCTCCAAGGGAAGCTCTGCAGGTGCTTCCTTGCCAGGGCTCTGGATGAGGCTGAGCCATTTGCAGGGGGCTGTACCCGCTTCTCCCGCGCTGGGGCCCATGAGTCGGGTGGGGCTTGAGGACCGGGTGGGGCAGCCGCCTCTGACCTCTGGGCTTCCTTTGCTTTTGCAGGACCTGGGCATGGAGTCGACCTCGCTGGACGACGTTCTGTATCGCTACGCCAGCTTCCGGAACCTGGTGGACCCCATCACACACGACCTCATCATCAGCCTGGCGCGCTACATCCACTGCCCCAAGCCGGTAGGGTGCTGTGGTCTGAGCCAGCCAGCTCCGGGGGCGTGAGGTGGGCGCCTGTCTGGGCAAAGCAGCTGTGCCCAAGGAGGGCTGGCAGATGCTTCCCAGGCCCAGGGAGGACAAGTCCCTCCTGCAGGCACTGAGAGGGTGGGCCTGAGGTGCCCTCCATTGGCCGCATCGGTTTTGTTTGGCCCATGGGGTGGATTCATTGCCAACACTTAAAAATCAGAATTTTTCACATAATCCCTGTATTCAGCTGCCCTAGAAAATTGGAAGCTCCAGCAGCATAAAGCCCTCATTTCTACAAGGCTGGAACTGAGTAGCCATCCCTGTTATACAGGGCCAGGCCCACCATGTACAGTTGTACAGGTTGTACCCTGCACACAGGCACACATACAGAGAGGTGGCTGGGGTGGGAGGAGGCAGGACCTAGTTAAAATCTAGCCGTCTCTCCGCCCACCAAGCCATGGGCCCTGGTGCAAGATTGTGTCCACCTAAAAGTGGACGTTTTCTAATTTGTACAAAGGTGCCATGTAAAGCTGGCAGTGGCCCTGCCTGGGGCTGTCCCGTTTGCCTCAGTCCCCACCACTCCCAGTTGTCTTCAACTCTGAGGCTGTCATTTTACACCCACCACTTCACTCATGTCTATTTCCTGCCTGTCCCCTGTAGCTCAGAAGGAAAAACTCCAGGGCTCTCCAGGCTCCAGAACTGCTGCCCAGCCCCTTCTGGGTGGGATACTCTGCCCTGTTCCAGCTGGCTCCAGGGTCTAAGCTGGGCCATGGGCCTTGAGGGTTGCCAGGCTGGCTTGCCCGGGGCTGCACAGCTGGACTGGCAGGGGAGGGGAGGGCCGGGCCGGGGTAGCTCTGCACTTGAGCTCTTCTCTGCTGTTTTGGTTTCTTCCCTCCCGTCCTCAATTTCCAACAGCTTCCCAAAGAAGCACTTCTTCCATGGCAGGGCCAGGAAGCAGAGGAGGACCAGGGGTGCAGGAGGGAGGCTTCCCCTTTCAGAGTAGGGCCTAGAGTAAGAGGGAGGAGATGGTTGCCCACACTCACCGCTCGCTGGCCTGGGCACAGACCTGAGCGTGGTCACCCAGGGGAAAGAGGGCTGCTGGGGCTGAGCTCCACCTGGGCTGTGTCTAGCACCTTCCCTCTGGTGCCAGGACTCTGAGGTAGGAGCTGGCCGTGGAGGGCAGGGGACCAGCCTGTTCGGTGTCTGGTAAGGACCTTCCTCCACATTGCCTTCTTGTGTCCTCACGTGGCAGTGAAAGGGCAAGGGAGCTCTCTGGGATCTTCTTATAAGGACATTGGTCCCATCATGAGGGCTCACCCTCATGACCCCCCAAAGGCCCCACCTCCTCATACCGTCACCGTGGGGATTGGGGTTTCAACATAACATAAGAATTTTGGGAGGCTGCAGACGTTCAGTCCGTTCTATGGTATAACCTTTCTCAAATCACTTGATAACCTATGCTTCATTTTCCTCAACTCCAAAATGGGCATAAAAATAATCTCTCTCCTATCAAGCTGTTTTGAGAGTTAAACAAGATGATTCACAAGAAGCCCTTGCATGTGCCTGGCCTGTGCAAGCACCACAGGGACAGAAGTCAAGGTGGTGACTACTCAGTGAGCACCTACCCACCACGTGTCGAGCAGTGCGCTCAGATCCCGCAGGTCAGTTGCAGGAAACAGCGCCAAGTAAGACTGGTCCCTGGGACCTCACCCCCTGCGGTCTCCCTGCAGTCTCAGAGTCTTGGAAAACAATGGGCTCATCTCTGACTGGGATGTCCGGAATCAGCAGAGTCAGCCCTGCTGGAGGCCCAGGGGCCTAGCTGGTCCCCTGCCCATGCCCACAGCTATGTGGCAAAAGATGCTCTTTTGCAGGACTCTCCCAGTTGTGGAGGAGGCAGGAGTGGGAGGTCCCCGAGCTATGGGGTCCCCAAGCTGGTGGTAGGGGCAGCCCCTCCACCCACCCCAGCTACATGAGCTGGCTCTGAGTGATTTGCATCTGAGAATTTCATATCAGCCCAAGTTGTGGGCCTAGAAATTATGAACAGAGGTGTCAGGATCAGAGAGCTTGTCCCTAGGTAAATTGGATCATACGTGTACCTCACTGAAAATCCTGCAGCTGGCATTGTTTTCATTTAAATAAAACCCAAACTCCTCCTCTGGCCCTGCCTGAGTCTTCAATCTCATCTGCCCCACTCACAGCCCTGCACACTCTGCTTCTGGCACATCTAAATCCTCCCCTACCTCGGGGACTGTGCAGCCCCCTCAGTGCACGAGCCCCCCGTGTCTGAGCTCCCTTCCCCTCCATTCGGACTGAGCCTGAATGCCACCTCTCGCGGGCCTTCCTCAGCCAGCTGCCTCGCGCAGGCCTCCGAGCAGCCCCCGTCTCAGAGCCTCCTTACTCATTCATTTCTCCATTTCACCTCCTGGTCTCTGAAATTATCTTCCTTGTTTGTTGGCTTGTTTATTGTCTGTTTTCCTTACTGTAGTATAAACTCAAAAGGGGCATCTGTCCTGTTCCAGGTCACCTTCTGCACCAGGCAGGAAGCAGGCGACATGTTCCACGGAATTTTTAGAGAGCGTAGTAAAGGGTGCAGACAGGGTAAAGGGAATCAACAGGAAGTTGTTCCACCGAGGGGGTCCCGAGGGGCGCTGCACCGCTAGAGCCAGGACGAGAACGCCTGTTTGGAACTGTGCCCGTCATCTGTTGCTGTGTAACAAGTTATCCCAAAACTCAGTGGCTCAAAACCACAGACATCTGCTGCTGTACAGTCTGTGTAGGTCAGGAATTCGGGGGCAGCTGGGCTAGGTACTTCTGGCTTGTGGTCTCTCCAGACATTGGTCAGGGCTGCACGTATCAGAAGGCCTGACAGGTTGGCAAGTCCACCCCCAAGACGGCCCATCGCAAGGGGTCGGCAGGAGGCCTCAGCTCCTGGGCGTGAGGGCCTCTCCGTAGGACTGCTTGAGCATCCAGCTTATCCCCGAGCGAGAGGTAACGCAGAAGCCACAACACCTTTTATGGCTCAGAAGTCGCATGCCGTCACATCTGCCGTTCTGTTGATTCTGCCAGTCACCCAGACACACCCTGACACAGTGTGGAAGGGCACTGACCCCGGGGGGCGAGGACCGGGGCCGTCTCGGTGGCTGGCTGCCACCCTGCTGAAGCAGGGGCAGCAGGAAGAAGAATCCCTTGGCCCTTCTCTCCTGCCCTCTGACCTTGCTCTGGCTGCTCCCGTTAGCTGAACCTAGCTGGAAGCCAGGGCCAAGAGAGCCCAGCGCCACAGCCTCGAGTGCTCGGCCTTCTGCACACAGAGAAGGACAGAGAGTGGACTGCAGAGAGGGAGTCAACAGAGGAGCCAGCACACAGTGCCCGCATCTGGAGCTGTGTCCAGCGCGTAGTGAGCAGGGCAGTTGATATTTGGTTGCTGAATGAGTAAATCTGCAAACCAACAAGGGAGGGAAGCTTTGAGTGGAGGGCAGTGGAGGGCTGTGCTCGCTGCAGTCCGGGAGGCAGTTTCAAAGGTGCTAGGGAGCTGGAAATGGCAGGTGGCGTCGCCATCTGACAATGGAGCAGTGTTGGGGCTGCTGTGGTCCCTCCTGAGGGGTCTGCCTTGACTGTCTGTCCTGACAGGTCAGGGACAAGTCCCTCACACATTCTTCCCCAGGGCCTCCAGGCAGCATCCCTGGGCAGGTCTGGAGAGGCTGCTGCCCAAACCCGCACTTGACCCTGCGGTGCCCCGAGCCACCCTGATTGTGCCACGCCCTCTTCTTCTCCGTGGGTCACGGGAGCTGGAGAGAGCTGAGGCTGCGACTGCCGCTGGCTTCCCGTGGGCTGGGGCTCTGCTGCAAGCAGGGAAGAGAGTTTATCCTACAGACACTGCAGCACCTCGTGGGGCCCGAGGGGAGCCAAGCTTGATGCAGACACAAGAACTGCAGACACTGCACGGGGCAGCCTTCCTCGGCCTCCTCTCCCCTGCCTGCCTCCTTCTCTGTCCCTCTGCACAGATTGCTCGTAGGGGACGCAGCTGCCCGCAGCCTCTACTTTACATGTCAGGGTCCTAGCCGTGGAGTCGAGGGGTACGTCTGCTCTCAAGTCCAGGTTCCAGGGAAGGGGCTGATGGGCTGCTGTCGGCACCCACTCATGGACCAGTCGGCTGGAGCTTGGCAGCGGGGTCTGGCTGCACAGAAAGGCTGCTGGGCTGCACCACTTTGAGAAGAACATTCCAGAGGAGAGGGTCTGGCAGCCTGTCCAAACGTGTGACATGCAGTGCCTGTCGTCAGGGTTGCATGAGGCACGTGGCTGCCCCGTGGCTTGGGAGGCGGCTGTGTCTCGACACTGAAGCCACACGGGATGCCGCTGCCTCCCCTCTTCTCCCCACTCACCTCTGGGTCAGTTCTGCTCTCCAGATGAGGAAGACCTGGGGGGGGCCTTGGAAAGTGAGGGAGCGGAGAAATAATTAGATGGTCTTGCCAAAGCTTTCTTGTTGCAAATGATAGAAACACCTCGGACTAACCGAAGCAGAAGACAGGATTCCTCACCAGGAGGGCAGAGCAGGGAGCAGTGCGGGGTGGTCGTACGAGCACCACCTCAGCACCAACGTGCAGGGTGGGGTCCTGCTGGCCTTGCCAGTCTCATTGCCTCCTTTATGCCTCAGTCCCCTCCTCTGTGAAGTGGGGATAGTAGTAGTGCCGGTTCCACAGGATTGTTGTGGGGACTAGCACTGGGATGAGTTTGCACATGCAATGCAGAGATGCCAGTGTGCCAGAGACTGGCCATGTCCTGTCCTGGGGTGGTCCCGGGAGAGATGCTGGGCAGACACCTGATCCCACCCACTGGTCCTTCTTGTCCTGAAAGTGTCTGAGCCGGTGCTTCTCCACCCTGGACTTTTAAAACTTCCCTGGGATTCCAGTGTGCAAGATTCCAAGGCGGTGAACTGAGGCTGTAGATGTGCCGTCTCCATTGTCAGCCCCCATTCTCCCTTTGCCTTCCAAAGTCAGCCTTCACCCCAGCCCGCACTACGCCTGCCCCTCGCTGAGCCTGTGCTGGCCAAGGCCTCCTCACTGGACACGCGGTGGCCTCCATGGGGTGTCTGGCCCCCCGGCCACCCGTCCCCCGGGTGTCCGTAGCTCTGCTCGCTGCTGCCTTCTCCATCTCCCGTGTGTCCAGTGCTTCCCCCTCGGCTCATTCCCTTGCTAGGGCTTTAATCAGATGCTGAGGAGTGGGCCAGCCTGGGCCTGTCTTGACCCCCAGCCCCATAAGCAATTGCATGCCCAGCTGGAGGTCCCATAGGCCCGTCAGACTCAACGCGGCCCCGCATGAGCTGGTCGGTCCCCATCCAACCTCCTCACCAGCTTCTACCCTGGAGCCCCTTTTCTTCTACCAGGTCCCAAGCCCAAAGCCCAGACCTCCTCGTCCTCTCCCTGCCTACACCTCCCCACCCAGCTGTGTGGCCTTCCCCCTGCATCCCCTTCCCCAGCCTGGCCCTGAGTCACCTTCTCAGAATGCAAACCTGATCCTGCTGTCCGTCCCCAGTGACTTCCCTGCAGCCCCCGTGATCTAGCCCCCTCCCCATTCACCCACCTCACTTCCCACCACACACCCCGTGTGACTAGGCTGAGCAAGACCCTGAATCTAGGAATCAGACGTCAGCTCCAGGGGTTGCCATGCAGGGATCTGGAGTGACAGCTGACACAAGTGCATTCTCAGTGGCAGGCTAAGACATTAGGACGCTGTGAGGCTTGTGGAGAACCAGATTCCACATGGCTCATCCAGATCGATTCTGCTCAGTCTCGGGCCCTCCCATGGCCCTGGGCCCTGCTCAGATGCCTCAGGTCTTCAGATGCCCAACCCCCACCTTCCCACCCCTTCTCTGTCTTGTCCCCCTTCCTCAGAGCCTCTTTCTCTTGCCTTTCCATCAGGCCCAGCCCTGTCCCTCGCCCTCTGGGTTTCAGTTTCCTCCTCCGTATGATGGGTGTGATGAAAGTATTCACTGCTGAGGGTGTTGTGGGAGTTGCATAAAGTTCTAGCATACTGTGCGGTGCAGGAACCAGAAGTGCTCAGACCCCAGATTCTCGCCTGCCTGCACGTCTGTAACACACCCCCACCTCGGCCCTCGCACAGCTGTTTCCTCCTCACTTAGGGATGCCTTGTGTTTCCTTTCTCCATCCAAAAATCACTAACCCATTTGCTCTTAAATGCCCAGCTCCAGCCTGAGCCTGGGCAGAGGCACCTTGTTCACCCTGCCGGAGTTCCACTTCCATGCCACGCTTGCAACAGCACAGCGCTCACTCGGCGAGCATTCCTAGAGCCGCCATGGACCGGGCTCTGCTCAACACACTTTAAAACTAGTAACTTGAGGGGCCGGCCCGGTGGCGTACTGGATAAGTGCGCCGCTTGGGAAGCGCGGCGGCGCTCCCGCCCGAGGGTTCGGATCCCACATACAGACCGGTTCCCGCTCATTGGCTGAGCGAGGCGCGGGAGCAACACCGAGGGTTGCAATCCCGTTGCCTGTCCCCGGTCCGTTGCGATCCGTTGCCGGATACGGAAAAAGACAAAAAAAAAAAAAAAAAAAAAAAAAAAAAAA